CGAAGATTTTTAACTCAAACCGTTGCAGTCTGTCAATCATATAATGAAAGTGGATGGGAATCATGGCTTTGAGAGTAAAAAAAAAGCATAAACAAACAAAACCAAATTAAACCCTGCGGCTCCCTACAGACCCGAAAAGAGCAGTTTGTGCAAGAAACTGAACAGTATTTATATAATTTTTTACCTCTGATCCACCGCAATGTCCGAGCGTGTTCACAACATCCAGCGCGTGATGCGTGTACGTGCTCTGGCATAGTAGACATAGATATATATATATATATATATATACACGTCAACGTATCTAGAGCGGTATCTAGATCTATACATATCTATGATAGTAAGATGCATGTGCGGAAGCAATCTGTTGTGCGCATTGGTCACTCATTATTTCCACAGTGCAGAGAGATTGCGGACATGTTCACTGGCTCTGCAATGATCTAAAGTTATTTAGAAGTACAGCTCATCACAATGGAAGACGATTTTGATATATCATCAGACAACGTGGAATTTTTTGCCCAACCGTATTTATTTGACGTCACGCGCCGGATTTTATGCTCAGGACAGTTGGACATTGCGGTGGATCAGAGGTAAAATATGATTCAGTTTCTTTCACAGACTGATTGTTTCGTGTCTTAAGACCTCAACGTATCGTCACGAGCCGCAGGGTTTAATTTGGTTTTGTCTGTGTATGTTTTTTTTTTACTCTCGAAGCCGTGGAGCCCATTGACTGCCATTATAAGACTGATAGACTGCAACGGTTTGAGTTAAAAATCTTAGTTTGTGTTCTACTGAAGAAACAAAGTCACCTACATCTTGGATGCCCTGGGGGTAAGCAGATAAACATAAAATTAAAATTTTTGGGTGAACTATCCCTTTAACACGCATTTTCCACATTGACCAACATAAGGCTGCTATGGTCCATTTGAGAGATAGGTGACGGTAATGCACTTATAAGTTTGCGATCTGCCGTAAAGCATGAAGAAGAAGATGCGAACGCGCTCAGGACAGTTCGGGCACTGCAGTGAATCAGAGGTAAAAAACTATATAAATACTGTACAGTTTCTTGCACAGACCGATCGTTTCGTGTCTTTACACATCGATGTATCGTCACAAGCCACAGGGTTTAATTTGGTTTTGTTTGTGTAAGTTTTTTTTTTAACTCTCAAAGCCATGATTCCCATTCACTTACGTTATAAGACTGACAAACTGCAACGGTTTGAGTTAAAAATCTTCGTTTGTGTTCTACTGAAGAAACAAAGTCACCTACATCTTGGATGCCCTGGGGGTAAGCAGATACACATCACATTTTCATTTTTGGGTGAACTATCCCTTGAAGTATTGTCTTTTTTTACCTCACCCTTTCAATGGACTGTGCCAAAGAAGTGCACGATAGGCTACCAGACACAGGAGTTTGCCCTCAGAAAGAGCGCAGTCTGAAGCTGTTGCCATGTTATTTAATTTGTATTACTTAAATGTAATTTTATTTTGATTGTTTTGAGGTGGTATATGACCTGCACATGTTTACATGAGATTCATCTACATATATATATATATATATATGATAACTGTCCATATACAATAAAAATCAGTCATTAAAATTAATATTGTTAAGTCTTTCAAATGTGCACTTTCATGTACTGGTATTAGAGACACTTCAGTACTGCCACAAAATGCACAGCAGACTAATAGAGAAGAAAAGTCAACTATTATCTAGTTATTCAAATAAGTCAGGTTAATCATTTAAACCCATTATGATGATTATATTTATTCAGATCATTAAAACAGGGATGCAATGTGTGCAGAACAACAACCCAGGTTTCTTCACAGTGTGACGGAATACACTCTACACTACAATCTAAATCTTATTCTCAGTCCACACATATTCCCAATCCTATAACATATTGCGTAGTCCTATTGTCTGCAACTCTAATAAAACAGACCTGGGAGCCATTCTCGTCACGATCCACCAATTGAGAACCAGTTAACAAGCACATATCCATCTACAGCCAAACATCCATTTCTACACATCCGGCCCACAAATGCGCAGTAAAGATCCATGGCTGTCAGAATCCCACGGGGGGGACTCTTCTTGTCTGATCTATGTATCACTTCATCAGGGTGATAATTGTCAGGCATTCAAATTAAAGTCTCACAGTTTGAAGACAGAGGAGGTACGGCAAGCAGAGTTGAAAGGGAAGCCTGCCCCTCTCTAGGGCTGGAGTCAGGAGGGAGTGTGAGGGATGGATGTGTAATTACCAGTGCCACTGGAGAGAGAAATCGCAGTCTGTCCCATGCCAAAAATGACTCCTCCCTGCAAATGACTTCCTATACCAGACAGTTAACCAGGCTGAACGCTGACAAAGGGGCGGAGGGATTTCACCCTAGAGGTTACAGACACACATGGAGCAGATCCACAGATCACATGCCTGGGTTTAAGGAGCTAGCTGAAATTAGTTGACCAATGTTTATTTAATTATTTATATATATATATATATACACAGACCTCAAAAACTAATTAAATGTAATCTTTTAAAAAGTCTTTATCAGTCTTTGCCACTATCCTTCAATCCACTGGGTTTTACCTATTTGTTGGCATGACATTTTTAATCATTTAAAATATATAAAATTTTTATATGATCATTTTTTCTTTTATATATTTTAATAAGTACATGTCAGAATAAATATGTTGTTTAATTTTTACATAAATAAACAAAATGTTTACTGAATGACAATGGAACATTATTTCACCCAGATTTATTTAAAGTTAAAAAATTTTTTTTTATCTTATTTCTCAGGTCTACCTGTAGGCCAAATCAACATATATAAAATATTAACATACAACCAAATAAAAAATGCAATAAAATTATAATACTTATAATAATAACATAAAACTATTTACTGAACTAAAATAAACATTTATGCACAGTTATATAAAATATTTATACAATATTAACTAAAAATTAACAATATAAATGAAAACAGAAAATGTGTATTATTCACATTTTGTCAAGCTTTCAGTAAATTACATTTTTGTTAATCAACCAAGCAGGAAAACCTATCGGTTGATGCTGATAATCTCAAAAGA